GGAGCTACTGACAGGCACACTCAGCCTTCACAGGCTCCTTCCCAGGAGCTGAGGGGTTTGGATCAGGCCTGAAAGCCCAACAGAGCTGGAAACACATTAATTTTTTTCTTTTCATCTCAAAATCTCCAGTTGTCTCCTTTCCAGCTTTGGGCAGTGTCAGGCATTTCTGGTCCTGTGCCCTCCCATCTGTTCCCCTGGCTTACGGAGGGGACAGGAGGGTGATGTTTATTAAATGACAAACTTGGCTACAGCAGGATGGAAAAATAAACACAATCCTGGCACGTGGGAACCAGCCCAGGTCAAACGGGACAGCTCACTGACAAGGAAGGAAGAGGAGCAGCCTCCAAGGGCTCAGAGATGTCACAGGATTATCTCTGGAGGAGAGGGTCAGCAGTTTAAAACACAACTCCAGGCCCTAAGGAGAGCTCAGAGCCCCTTCCAGTGCCTAAGGGGGCTCCAGGAGAGTGACCTGGGACAAGGGATGGAGGGACAGGACACAGGGAATGGCTCCCACTGCCAAAAGGCAGGGATGGATGGGAGATTGGGAAAGAATTCCTGCCGGGAGGGTGGGGAGGGGCTGAGACAGAATTCCCAGAGAAGCTGTGGCTGCCCCTGGATCCCTGGCAGTGCCCAATGCCAGGCTGGACAGGGCTTGGAGCAGCCTGGGGTAGTGAAAAGTGTCCCTGCCCATGGCAGGGGGTTTGAATGAGATGGGATTTAAGGTCCCTTCCAACACAAACCATTCTGGGGTCCAGTGAAAAATGTGTGCTCACCCCTTCCCTGCCCAAGTCCTCTCAGCTCCTCCTCACTCCATCCTGCCCAGCAGCTTCCCTCTGCTCCCCACCAACCCAGACCTGAATATTCAGCTTTTAGGCCATTTCCTCTGTCACCTCTTCCCCATCAATGGAAAATGAACCCCCTAGGGCTGGAAACAGCCAGAGCCCTGCACCCCTGACACTGGCAGGATTGCCAGGGATGTGTGAACATAGCAGGGATGTGTGAAGCAGCTCGGTGTCACTGCTGGGACACCCTGAGCCCACGGACAAGGGGCAGCCTGGCACTGCACTGAGGGAATGCCAGGCCTGGCTCGTGTTTCCACTGCCACCATTCCAAGGCACAGCCAGGCAAGGTGGCTGAGGTCACTGCAGGTGACCTGAAGTGAAACCAAATCCACCAGAGACAGCCAGCCCAAACTCTTGTGGGGGCAGAAATTGCTTGTGCCACATCAGTTTGGGCTGGGAATCCTGCAGTGGGGTCCATGGGCTGGGATCACCTCTGAGCCCAGCTGCTTTCCAGGACACTTCTCCTCACACAGATCTCAGCCAAGATTTATCACTGAGGAAGCTCAGCTTCCTCAAGGGAAGGTGTAAGAAATAAATTTATTTTAAAATTTTGAAGTTTGATAGAATGAAGATATAATATACATTTATAAACAAACCTTAAAATATGAAATACTAACTTAAAAATACCATAACATAAAGCAAACATTATTAAAAAAGAAATACCATAAAATAAAGCAAATATTATTAAAAATAAACAAGTTTCAAAAGACAACCTTACAAATAAGACTAAATACTTTAGAAAAATGAAACTATAAAAGATGCATTGTAGTAAGACCCACGAGGGGTAATTTTAAATAATTAACTTTAACACATTTACAACATAGTGTAACAAAAACTAACAAGCTAAAATACACTTATATAATTAAGAAATAGTTTGCTTCTAATCATAATAACATAAATTATAACATCTGTATTATCTCACCCTTCACATACAACTAAAAATAAAATGAAAGCTTTTAAAACACCTCTCAATTACCACATCTCTGAGTCAGAACAAACCATGATCCCACAGGAGGGTGTTGTGGGGTGGGATCTAAGAGCCACAGGACAAGGAAGAACTGCTGTGCTACAGAATCATGGACTGCCCAGCCAGCTGGAACCACCTCCACTGTGCAGGGGCTTCCTTGGGCTCAGCAAAACACCACCAGCCTGGAGTTTAATGCCAGTGATGTAAAATCTACACTTTGTCCTGTGCAAACATCATCACAGAATCCCAGAATGGTTTGGGTTGGAAGGGACCTTAAAAAACCAAAGTTCCAACCTTGCCATGGCAGGGACACCTTCCACCATCCCAGGGTACTCCAAGCCCTGTCCTGCCTGGCCTGGGACACTTCCAGGGATCCAGGGGCAGCCACAGCTGCTCTGGGCACCCTGTGCCAGGGTCTCCCCAAAAATGCACTACCCTGTTGCTCCTTGTTCATTTTATCCCATTCCATCCTCTCCCAGCCTGCAGAGGACTCAGCTGGCAAGTTTTACCTCCCTAGGTGGATGTTCCTAAACCAGGAACATTTAGGATTCTCCTAAATGGAGTCACTTCAAGCTCTCCTGTGCTGACTGACCCAAATCAGGGCTCTCTTTGCAGCAGGACATTCACCCCACACCCTGCTGGCACAGATTTTTGGCAGGATTCTCACCTGCCTCCCATGCCCTTCTAGCAGCACTTAGCCAGGGAGCTGCCCTCCCAAATTTCCTGACACAAACCAGACCCCAAAGCCATGTGGGGCTGGCTCAATCCCTTAGCAGGATGGACAGGCTGAAGTTCTCTCTCCACCTCACTTGGATGCCCCAGCACAAATATCCCTCCTGCTGCTGCTCCAAAATGCAAGGCACAGAGGAACACTGACAGATCTTCCTGCATTTTTGTCCATGCAAACAGGTTTCCTTGAGGTGATCCAGAAAAATGACAGAATCCTTAAGGTTGGAAAAGCCCTCTAAGATCACTGAGTTCAACCACTCCCCAAAGGGAATGGCTTCCCATTGCCAGAGGGCAGGGATGGATGGGATTTTGGGAAGGAATTCCTGGCTGGGAGGGTGGGCAGGCCCTGGCACAGGGTGCCCAGAGCAGCTGTGGCTGTCCCTGGATCCCTGGCAGTGCCCAAGGCCAGGCTGGATGGGGCTTGGAGCCACCTGGGATGGTGGGAGGTGTCCCTGCCATGGCAGGGGTGGCAGGAATGAGATTTAAGGTCCCTTCCAATCCAACCCGTGATTCCTTGCCTGGAATTACATTGACTTTTCATATTTTTCACTACACACCTCCCTTCCCTGCTCCAGACTTTTCCTGCACAGCCAGCAAGTTCATCACCACAAACCCATGACAATTATCACAGGCTCATTATCAACACCCAATTAGCTGGCACAGAGCTCAACCCCAGCTCCTTTCAGATTTTCCAAAGGCAAGTTCTTGGACACAACTGATTTGATAGAGTGGTAGAGCTGCAATGCCCCAGCATTTGGAGCTGGGATAACAGTGAGATGCTTCTCCAGAACTTTGGGATGAGCCTGCAGTTATGGGACTGAAATAACCACTGGTCCTTTACACTCACTCCATCTTCCTACTGCCTACAGGGGCAGATGTGGGAGCATCCTGAAGCACAGGGATCCTTTTCTGGGAACATCCAAGTGCATCCCAGCCTGCTGCCCAGTGTGCTTTGCCTGGATTTTTCCTGGATTTTTTTTGCCTGGATTTTTGATGCTCCCATGCTGCCATTTACCCTGCCACTTCCAGAAGAGTTTCACTTTCGTTTTCATTTCCAGGTCCAACTTCCCAGCAGCTAGGTCTCACTTGCTATCCAAGCCTGCAGGAGGGACAGGGTGCAGCCTTTATCTCTGCCCACACCAGGAGAGGAGGGCTTTGATTCCCGTGCACAGCAGGCAGCCTGCAGCATGGAATCATAGGCTGGAGAAAATCTCTAAGAGTCCAACCGTTCCCCCAGCACTGCCAAGGCCACCACTAACCCGTGTCCCCAAGTGCCACATGCACACGGTTTGTGAGCACTTCCAAGGAAGTGAATCCACCCTTCCACAAGCTGGAATCTCCACCTGCTGAATCCCACCACTTCCCTGGAGGAACCAGCATCACCCACTGCTGCTGCAGCCCCTGGAAATCCCTGGAGAGCAGCCGGCACTGGGCGCACATCACTCAGCAGGCTCCGGACGGCTCAGCGCTGTCACCTACCCGGTGTCCCGAGGGTTCAGGCCGATGTCCTCACCGATGTCCTCACCGCTGCCGGGACAGCATCCCGCCCCGAGGCGTGCCAGGCACGGCTGGCAAAGCCGCGATGCCCAAACCAGCGCGGGGGGCTCAGAGCCAGCCGGGAGAGGCGATCCCTGAGCCCAGCGAGGCCTCTCGGTATCCAGGGGAGCCCAGAGCTGTCCCCTGAGCGCGGCTCCCGGAGCTGTGCCCGCATCCACAGGGACGGATGGCGGCCTGCATGGAAGGAACAGAGGGGCCGTGAGGGACAGCCCAGCCCGCAGCCGGGATGTTCCCGGTGCCTGAGGGACACCGGGACAGCCCAGCCCGCAGCCGGGATGTTCCCGGTCCCTGAGGGACACCGGGACAGCCCAGCCCGCAGCCGGGATGTTCCCGGTGCCTGAGGGACAGCCCAGCCCGCAACCGGGATGTTCCCGGTCCCTGAAGGACACCCGGACATCCCCACAGAGCCTGAAAGCGGGGATGTTCCCGCAGCCCGACTCCGCCAGCGGGAGTGCCCAGATCCCCCCGGCTCCTCCGGGAGGCTCCTCCGGGAGGCCCCTCAGCGCTCCCCTCACGGCCCCTCTCAACCCTTCGCGGCCCGCTCCCCTCTCTCATCTTCCTCATCCTCTCTCATCTTCCTCATCCTCCCTCATCTTCCTCACCCTCTCTCCCCTCTCACCGTCCCTCTCTCTCACCGCTCACCGGCTCCCAGGGAAGGAGGGATGGCGGGCGGGCGGCGCCGCCAACCCAACAAGCAAAGCGGCGGCGCGGCGGGGGCGTCGCGCGGGTGATTGACGGGCGGCGCCGGCCAGTGGGCGCGGCGGGTGGGCGCGGCGAGGGGCGTGGCC